TTCTTCAACAAGCTCCTCATCTTGAGCCAGGTCTTCACAGGGGCCTTATTCTCTCGCCTTCTTTTGGTGGATAGGTTGGACCACCAAGTGGAGGCATACTTCCGAAACTTCAATGCCACGATCTTGACCTTTTTTTCTTCGGGCACATCTTTGAAGTCAAAGACACGCTCAACAGTTTCCAGCCACTCTAGAAAGTCATCCGAACCGTTCTTCCCTTCAAAGGTTGGTATGTCCACCTTGAAATCGGTAGCTCCTCGTTCATGATTCTCCTCTCTAGTGGTGTTACTAGAGTTAGCTTCGGGGCGAACTTCTTCGTCTTCTTCACTTTCCTCCAGGGTATTCACCATGCTCATCTTGAGCTTAGTGAGTTGGGCAACTTGCTTGGCCAAGTACTCAACTTGCGCCTTGAGAGCAGCATTGGAGGCTAGGAGTTCTTCGTTGGACAGGTTGTTGGAAGTGTTTGACATGATGATAGTAAGGGAGAGAGAGTAAAGGAAATGGAAAGGAAAGAAAAGGGGAAGTGTGTTGTATGGCCTCAGGGAATGCTTAACAACAAGCTCCGATACCAAATGTTATATCTAAGCTCAGGGTTTTATAGTCTCAAACTCTTTATTTGCAGGGAGAGGGAGATAATCGATTGTCCTAAGTGGATAATCGATTATTGATGGGGGAGTGAGAGTCGATTATTGAGAATTGCAGGTTTCTGGGAAAAGCTAATAATCGATTGTCCTAAGTGGATAATCGATTGTTGAAGGCTTCAGGTTCTTGGCAGTTTTCTGGGAATTCTCTAAGAAGGACGATAATCGATTGACGGAGGAGTGGTAATCGATTATTGTGAGTTGCAGGTTTCTGGGAAAAGCTGATAATCGATTATCTGAAAGTGATAATCGACTATTGAAGACTGCGGATGTTTTACGAAGGATAGATAATCGACTTCTACTACTGATAATCGATTACTGGACAGCTCGAGACAGGAAAAGAGGTATTTCTTTGGGAAGGGGAACAAGCCAAGTTGGTGTTAAGGGATGTTTCTCACCCTTATCTTAACTTGAGGTTGAATCTAGCATTCAAATAAGATATAACACACTTATTTAAATAACTAGAACCTAAAACTCACACGCAAGAGAACCACTCTTAAGATATAGGATTAGGAATTTGGAATGAAACACACAAGTGAATCACTTTGATTAAAAGGGGAATACAATGTGTTTCTACACCCAGCCTATTGCTGAATATATAGGATTACATTGGAGGGAATGAGGGAAAATTCAACTCACTCAAAATAATGCCCATGTGCTTATGTTTCTTAAGTGGAATGAAATCAGGGATATGGGTTGTTTGGTGGGGTTTTGGGCTGTTTCTGAGTTGTAGGAAATGTTGGGGGGAAGGAGGGATGAATGTGGGGAGGGCTGAAGTTGAGGGCCAAGGAGTGGGGGTAAGATGAAGTGGTACATTTGGCTGGGTATTTGTGGAGGTTTTGGGGGAATTTGAATTTGGTCAGGGTTGGGAGACAAAGGGGTGTGTGTGGGGTGTGCCATTTGGAGTTTTGTTGTGGGGATTGGATGTATTATTGTGAAGGAAAATATCCCTGGGCATTTTGGTTTATAATTTTAGTGTATTGGGGAACATAATGGGGACCATGCTGGATGTGTTTTTGGACACTTATTTTCGGCATTGTAAAATAAGAAGAAAGGGAAATTGTGGCTTGGTTTTCTTTGGATTCCTGGGAATGGATTGTGAAGTGCTGGGATTGGTTATTAATGTGGTGATGGGTTGAGGGTAAGTATGGTTAGGGTGCATGGTTTGATGATGATTTCATTCCAGA